CCGCATCCCCGGGGGCCCCGGCGCGCCGCGTGGGGGAGGGGAGGCGCGCCTGCAAAGTTCGCTCCAAGTTAAGGGGTCCGGTTCAGGGATTCCCGGCAAGTCGCCTCCTTAGGAGGGGCGACTCAACCCTGAGGTCCCCACGACGTGCTGCGAACGCACGTGGGCCGCGTTCAGCCACGCACCCCGAGTCCCGGACAGCGGCCCCCGTGCGTGTCCCCCCGATCGCCGCGGCCCCAGCCGCCCAGACTCCTGAGCTCCGGACTCCGTTCAGCACTTTTCATTCAATCCCACCCCCCGTCACTTCCTTCAGAAAACAGAAACCACCAGGACCTGCCTTAAAGAGACCGCGCACCTCTTGGCCCTTAAAGGGACCGCTGAGGCCCAGAGAGGGGCGGGGATTGGGGACCGCGGCTCAGCCGCTTTGTGGCCGGCCGACGCTGGCTTTCTCTGGGTCCCTCCCTCCCGCCGCGCCCCGCCACCGGCCAGGCCTTGTCCGGAGTTTGCGCTCGGGGCAAATCCCTTCCTCCCATTAAGGGCGGGGCGGGTGACTCTTCCCCCGCCGCCCCCCCACACCCTTCTGGCTTGTTCTGGTGCCACGTGGATGAAATAATCAGGCTTGGACTTTCAGGGGGTTTGCTTAGTCTTTTAGTTTCTCTGACACAGCGAATTTCTCAAATGCGGCTGGAAAAAAAAAATCAGGCCTCACCTCGCACTCTGTCTTTTCCTGGGTCGGGGAGTGGAGTTGGGGGGTTGAGGGCCAACTCTGTACATCCATCAGGTGTGCGCTGTTTTGATAAATGAGGCCGCCAATCTGGACGCGAACTTCAGGGAGCACTTTGTGGGCCGTTAGGCGGTTTCCCTCTCCTCCCGAGTTTAGGCAGCCTTTCTCCAGCCTAGCCCACCTCCCAAGGCCCGGCTCTTTCCTCGAATACACTGAACACAGCCAGGGAAATGATAGATTCCAGGCCACTGGGGACACCCGATGGGGACACTCCTGCTTCATGGTCAAGGGCCACAAAAAGATAGCTCTGCTGTGCCAGATACTCCAACCAACTGAGGATGGGGGAGTAGGATTCCTGCCTGCTTGGTGACATGTGAGCATACTTTAAAAATTCTTTGAGTCTGTGTCCCCTGGTGAACAGAGAGGAGGCTGGGGAGGCCATGCAGATAAGGTCCTCTGGGGTGCTCAGAACCATTTGTTCCTCCTGTCCATTGCCACTGTGTTTATTCCAGGTGCCTTGTTGTCTCTAGGGTCCTGATGGCAGATGGGTGAAACTGTCGTCCCCTGCACATAATCCACCGTTGCCAGCGTGAGCCCTTTCCTTCCGCATACATAGAGGACTGAACGGGACTTGAGAGTTCATCTCCCTCAGGGTTTTCCAAATTTGCCTTACCTCAGGCATCCCTTCGATGTTTGCTAAAGCACAGCTTCCAGGAACTTAAACCTATGGGTTCAGACTTCTAGGGAAAGGCACTGGTAACAAGGTCCAGAGTGGCGCTACAGAGATTGGGAGATGCTCGGTACTTGACAGAGGGTTGAATGTGGGGGATCAAAAACGAACAGCATCTTTCTTGGGGAACCACCTCTGTCTTGAGGACTTTTCACCCTGGGCAGCTGGGGCCGACTGCCAGACAATAACTGGGCTCTTTCTTTGGGGTCTTCCAGCCCGAACTGACAGCACTGAAGACGTAAAGTCGCCTGGGGTCTCGAGGCTGGCCTCTTGCCTGACAGGATGCTAGATCTCAAGGAAGCCTTCAAGCCAGGGCTGCCCCCATGAGTCAGTGCCACAGTCATTAGGGGCCTCACCCACATTTCCTAACTTCCCCTGGTTCGGGTCCTGTCCCATCCATCACTACTTCTGTCCTTGGCAATCTTCCCAGGCCCTGGAACCTCCTCCAAGTCCCCGACAAGAACCAAGAAGCGGGCAAAGGCTCTCTGTATCTCTGTTCAGACTCTATGGTTTGGAAACACAGGTGGAAGACTTTTCTTCCCTATGAAGAATCCTTCTCTATTTCAGCTATAGATCAAAACTGACGTGTCTTTTAAAACGGTAGGGAACTTATAACCTCTTCCATGAGCCACAACCCTGTCTTTCTGGTGACTGCACCAGGTCTTCAAGATTGGGGGGGGGGGAACCCTAGCTTTCCCAGCAAGACTTTCTGAGTCACCGACTTACCTGAATATGCTCTGTTCTCCTCAGCCTCTGGACTACAACAGTAATTATTATACAGCTACCAGTCATTGGAGGGATCTTTGTTTTGTTTTGGTTTTGAAACAAGGTCTCATTATGTAGCCCAGGCTAACTCTAAACTCATGAGTCTTCCCACTTCAACCTCCCGGGAGTGTCAGGATGAGAGGCATATGTTATCAACCCGCTTCACTGTAGTAGCAGGTCCAGGTTCTGTGCCACAGATTTTATAAACATACCGTCTTTTTCAACTTCAGGATAACCCTCCCAAGTACATTCCATTCTTAGACTCTGTGTATGGGCTAACAAGCCCGGATTTAGAGAGGTAATATACCTAAGGTCACACAGGTAGTTGAGCCAGCACGGGCTTGAGCAAGGCTGCCTGACCACAAAGCCCTTGTTTTTAACCACAGTAGCATCTGCCCGTCTGCAACATTCACTTTCTTTCAGCCCTGAAGGAGCTCACGCCTGGGCTATCTTTTCCTCTTATCTAACGGTTTATATGGGCAAGAGGCTGTCCGTTTCAACGGGCCAGCCCCACGCTGGGAACTGACTGCCTTCCACAAATCACTCAGGTGTCCATTCATCCTGGACTCTCAAGGCCCTGGGAGGAGAAGCCCTCCCAGCTCCAATTACCCTGACTACAAGCCTAACAGCCCTCATCGTCAGGAAGTCCTTTGTCTTGTCTTCGTGTGTCATGCCATCCACGGATTTCTGTCCCCTTCTCATCCCCAGCCTGGGGGAAGCCGTTTCCGAGTTCCCAATAAATAGTACCTCAGAAAGGATGTTAGGATCTCAGTGCTAGAGCTTGGCTACTCACAAGCTAGGTGATTCCCCGAGCCTCTTCTTCATCTGTGAAATGGGTACATACATGCTTAGCTCACTTAAAGGTTTATTTTTATTATTTTAAATTAGGAGTATGTGGGTGGGTCTGTGTGTGGGTCTGTACATGCGATGTGAATGCAAGTGCCTACAAAGGCCAGAGTTGGGTTGATCCCTTCGGAGCGAAGTTACAGGGGTGGTGAACGATCTGACATAAGGTCTCTTAACCTCTGAGCCATCTCTCCAGCCCCCTCACAGGGTTGTTTTAAGAATTAAATGAAAAGTTGTCTGTAGGAAAATGGCTCACAACATGTTAGTGGTCCCGGCTCACTGAAAGAAAGCTATTATTTATTATTTATGACCATCGTACCAAATGCTAATCTGCTTGACGACACACGACTTCCCGCCCTGTACCTGCCCTCAGCAGTAGTTTTTGTCTGCAGATGGATCAGGTCTTTTTTTGGTGCATATTACCTGGTGGAGCCCTAAAAGCAGACCAAAACTCCAGAAGGCAATCTTCTTTGTCTGTGGTCTGAGTGGGTCTCTACCTGGTCTGAGTGAGTCTCTACCTGGTCTGAGTGGGTCTCTACCTGGTCTGAGTGGGTCTCTACCTGGTCTGAGTGGGTCTCTACCTGGCCTGAGTGGGTCTCTACCTGGTCTGAGTGGGTCTCTACCTGGTCTGAGTGGGTCTCTACCTGATCTGAGTTGGGTCTCTACCTGGCCTGAGTGAGTCTCTACCTGGTCTGAGTGGGTCTCTACCTGGTCTGAGTGGGTCTACCTGGCCTGAGTGGGTCTCTACCTGGCCTGAGTGGTTCTCTACCTGGTCTGAGTGGGTCTCTACCTGGCCTGAGTGGGTCTCTACCTGGTCTGAGTTGGGTCTCTACCTGGCCTGAGTGGGTCTCTACCTGGCCTGAGTGGGTCTCTACCTGGCCTGAGTGGTTCTCTACCTGGTCTGAGTGGGTCTCTACCTGATCTGAGTGGGTCTCTACCTGGTCTGAGTGGGTCTCTACCTGACCTGACAAGAAGGACACATCACCCTGCTGTCTCAGTCTTCACCAGTAAACAAGTGCCCACAGGACAGGAAAGGGGGAAGCTCAAGCCAGTGACCCATGAGGGGAGAGGGGCAAGCTAGCAAGGTAGCCTGTCTGTGGGACAGGAGACAGGAAGCGGCCAGCTCTACCTGCTGTTTCTCCCTAGCGGCTCTTGAGTTTGGGCTGTAGTACAGCCTGGGTGCTTGCAGATAAGACAAGCCACTTGTGCCTTGAGTCTGAGGGAAACTCCAGGATGGGGATGGTCAGTCCTTTCTCTGTGTTTCAAGACCACCTACAAAGCCCCAATGACTTCACTGCCTGAGGAGAAGCGCAAATTGGGTTTATGGCATCACCTGATTATACTTCCGTCCACTGAGGGTGTGGTGGGAAACAGGCTGGAGCAACAGTGGACACTGTAGAGTGGAAAACAAAAATGATTGTTGTCAGGGACAGCCGTTCATCCTCAGGTGGGAAACCAGATGTGTGTGTGGGGAGGTAAGGTGAGGGGGGGATGAAGGAGGGGCGGGGGAGGGGCGCAGGTTGATCTGACGACTTTTAGACCTGAATCATCTGAGCTACAAAGGAAGGCAGATCTCTCAGCTCATTGATTGGAAGCCTGAGGATTCCTGAAAGTCCTGCTTCCCCTTCAAGCTAGTTTCTCCATTCTATTCTAACACTGTCAGGCCACTGGTACACAGGTGGGCAAGTCCCTTTGTTACAAGCAGAGGATGCTGTAGTGGGTCACAACAGGTACAGCAGCTCCGTAGCTCTAGATGGAACCAGAGCCTTCTAAAAACACGTTCCGGCGAGGTAAGTGAGATGGCTGAGGGGGTTAAAGGCACTTGCTACTGAGCCTGACAACCTGAGTTCTATCCCAGAACCTGCACGGAGGAAGGAGAGCATCAATTCCTGTAAGTTGTTCTCTGACCTCTACATGAACACTGTGGAGTACACACACACACACACACACACACACACACACACACACACACACACACACAGACACAGAGTAAAATGTTTAAAAAAAATTACAACAAAACAAAACTTTATAACGTTGTAAGTGGTAACATAAAGAACCAGAGGAGACTGGCCTGGACCAGGAAGTCGTTTTTGAAGGCTCTGTTGGATCTTGCGTAAACTTAAAAAACCCATGAATCAGGATTGATGGGCATAGGGGATGTTCCAGTCACCAAGTGAGCAATTCAACTTGTGTAGTGGTGCCGAGTCTGGTAGCTTTCCAGACACTTCACGAAGTAGCTGAGGCGTGGCGACAACGTCGACAGAGGCCAGCTGCCCAAAATCATTCAGTAGAATTTTGCAGGGGCCAAGGAATGTTGGGCCTCGTAGGAAATGCAGTACGAAGGTCCAGGTTTTCCTCCTAAGAGCAGTGGGCGGTCACTGAAAGGTGTTGTTCAGGGGGTGACATGACCAGACTTGCGATTCTAGACACCTGGGAGATGGACTGTAGCCATTCAATGGGAGGTGATGGTGGGCTGGGCTGTCTGGTGGCAGTGGGGGTGCAGAGAGGTGTCAGGCTTCAGCCTTGGGGGTACGGTTTGACGTTTCTTTGGGTGGGGAGGGGCAGGGAATAAGAAGGAGGGGTCAAGGTCAATGCCTGGCTCTACTTTGGGCAGTTGGGGGACACCATGCAGGGAGATGTCTCTGTTAGGAGTTCTTCAGGTCCTTGTCACCCTCTGTGTCCTGTTGTCAGGATCGCTCACAACATTTGAGATCTGACACCAGAGGGTACAAAACAGCTGAGGCCAGCCAGCTTCTGGTGGCTCTGCTTAGATACCCCGTGTTAGTATTCAGGCATCTGTGTCCGCCTGCCTTTAGGGTCCTGACAGGATACATCCTCAGCTGAGGCCACTAAGAGCACCTGCTGTGTGCATTCAATACCTTTCCTTATAAAATGCAGGCCCTGCATGGCTCTCTTCTCTTTTTCTCTTCCTTCACTCTAGTCCCCAGGGACCAGTCTCTGCCCCCTTCTCTGCCCCTTCACTCCCCTCCCCTCAATAAACCTCCCATGTGGGCCCTGTTGTATGGTGTGAATCCTTCCTGACGTTCTTAAAATACACCACGCAGCATCCTGAAGCTGGACAGTCTCCCTGCACGGTTCCTACTTCCTCCTCTTCCCTCCAAGTCTCTGTGTCCCGGATGTGGCTCCTCTGTCTGTCCCCTTCATGTCCAGCATGGTGTCCTGTACAAAAGGTTCTCAATAGTGAGTGATTGCTTCCATAGCCCTGTGTGTCTGACATTGCCCGATGGGGAGAGAAGCTACGGCCCAATATCTGCCCTCAGGATCGTGTTGGTCATGAGGTCCTCAGAGAATAGGCCCCTCCGAGGGCAGGCTAGGACACC